ATATAAAAATTTTATTATCAAATATTAAATGCTAAATTATTTATTTTACTTTGATTTTAATTTCTACAATGTTAAAGAATGTGTTGCATATGGTTTCATATATTAATTCAATTAAAAATATTATAATGAAGATAATTTACAGAAGTGACAAAAAAATTTCCATTCCCGTTCATTGCACGGGTTAAAATACTAATTTATTATAATTGTCTATTGGTCCTTTAAAAATACATGTGAATATTTATAGAATTTTTTAGAATTTAAAGAGTAAATGTTCATAATAACAAAAAAAATCAACAAGATTTACTTGTCCTCTGGAAGTTAAGATGCCAGAACAAATAGGGATATGATGTCTTCTAAAACCACTTCCAAGCTCATTCTCTCTTTCTCTCTATGTTGGATTTTTTAACCAAGTTGATCTTCACTCATGACCAACTTTATGTTGCTGTTTCACGAAAGAAAACAAAAATATGGTTAAAAATATTAATTTTGGATGATTATGAAAACCTTGCAACGATACCAAAAAGTGTTCACTTTTGAATATATATATATATATATATATATATATATATATATATATAAAATCAAATATTAAATGCTAAATTATTTATTTTACTTTGATTTTAATTTCTATAATGTTAAAGAATGCATTGCATATCGTTTCATATATTAATTCATATAAAAATTTTATATTGAAAATAATTTACAGAAGTGACAAAAAAAATTTCATTCCCGTGCATTTCAGTAGTTAAGATACTAATTTATTATAATTGTCCGTTGGTCCTTTTAAAAATACATGTGAATATTTATAGAATTTTTTAGAATTGAAAGAGTAAATGTGCAAAATAACCATAAAAAAAGTCAATAAGATTTACTTGTCCTTTGGAAGTTAAGATGCCAGAACAATTTTTTAAAAATTGAACACTTCAATGACTTAAAAATTGTACCAGCACCTTAACTTCGAGAGGAATTATAAACTTGTGAATTGAATCCAATTCATACATTGATTTTTATGGCCATAATTAAATTCGGTGTTGTTTGTATGGGATTGTCCGGTGTGGGATTAAATGGGGATATGATGCCTGCTAAAACAACTTCTAAGCTCATTCTCTCTTTCTCTATATGCTGGATTTTTTAACCAAGTCAGTTTTCACTAATGGCCAACTTTTTGCTGTTGTGTCACGAGTGAAAACAAAGATATGGTTAGAAATATTAATTTTTGATGATTATGAAAACCTTGCAACGATACCAAAAAGTGTTCACTTTTGCATATATAAAATTTTTTATTATCAAATATTAAATGCTAAATTATTTATTTGACTTTGATTTTAATTTCTATAATGTTAAAGAATGCATTGGATATCGTTTTATATATTAATTCAATTAAAAATATTATATTATAGATAATTTACAGAAATGACAAAATTTTGTTCATTCCCCTGTGTTGCACGGGTAAATACTAATTCATTATAATTGTTTGATGTTCCTTTAAAAAATACTACATGTGAATATTTATAGAATTTTTTAGAATTGAATATTAACATAAAAAAATCAACAAGATTTGCTTTTACGAAGGGAACACTGTAGGTGCACCGAGTCATATTAATATGACTCGGAGTTCCAAGGTCAAAAGAGAACGTCTAATAATATGAAATTGAAAGTTTGTTACTCCAGAATATTTTCTGTACTTAGTTGGATATGTATTAGTGATCGATATAGATGATTCTCATTTTATTTTTTAAATTTAGGGGGGTGTATTCAATTAGGAGTCTGCAAGATTTTTTAGGACTTTCAAAATCTGAGGGTATTCAATCTAGATTTTTCAAAATATCTCGAGGTATTCAATAAAGAATTTAAAAAGTCTTAAAAAATCTTTATGTATTCAATAGTTAATGAATTTTAATACTCTATAGACTTTGCTCGATTGTCTCCAAAAATAATCCTTTAACTCAAATCCCTTCTCAGGGCTTCGGATTTCTAATTTTCTATTGACTTCAGATCTGGCTGGTTTGGTCGGAGGGAGGGGCTGCTTCTGCCGGTTGACCGTGACTGACCAGGCGCCGGGAAGCTGTTGTGGTGTGTCTGCCTTCGTTACCGCCGGAGGAGGGCTGCAGGAGTGCCGCTATCTCCGAACGGTGAGGGAGGAGAAATCCGGCGCCGAAGTGGGAGTGGACCGAGTTGCTGCTACCTTCGCCGGATTGGGTTGTTGTCGCCGCCGGGGGTAAATTGTTGGTTGCCGTTTTCTGTTTTCAATTGAATACACCACCCTAAGATAATGTTTCTTTTGGGCCCAAGTGGATGTAAAGATTTTATTGTCTATGCTTATTGAATACTCCCTCCGTCCCCCTGTATTTGTCCACATTTTACTGGTGTGGGATAACTCCAATGTTCCGTTTGGTACACGGAACTCAAGTCATGAAATTAAAATTGGAAATTTTATTTTCAATTTTGCTGTCCGGAAATACAAAATATATATGGAGATTTGGAATTGAATTTTAATTTCAAATCAGCCATATCAATTCCGAAAAACATGTGGATTTAGTAGCACAAAAATATGTGGATGTGGATTTGAAATCATAATACTATTCCATATCAATTCTCAATATGATTTTTTGTTACCAAACAAAGCATTTAGAACTATGATACTTGATATTACTCTTTTTTCTGTGAAATCTGTACAACTATGCACATATCAATAAAAAATTATTTCTCAATTATAATAGGGTGAATTTCATCAGCGTCATATGAACTTTGGATATTTTTTTCTCTTAGGTACGTTAACTTCATTTTCTGTATAGAAAAATACATAAATGATACCAAATACTTGCTTCGTCCTAGTGTAGTTGTCCATTTTGACTTTTAGAGTCAAACAAGATGATTTTGAAATTCAATTAAATAAAAATTGTAATACTCTCCCGTTCCACAAAACCCTTCCCCTTTCATTTTTTTTGAATTCCCTAATGATATGTTTGAGAACATGGATTTGGATTTCAAATCCGGATTTGGCTCAAATTCCATGTTTGGGAAACTTAAAAATTTTGAATTTGGATTTGAGGCAAATTCTTCTCATTCATAACAATGCTTAAATTAAAATTCATGCACCTTCCCTTGTCATTTGAAATTCAATATTTCAAATTTTGGAATTGAAATGCATAAATTGAAATGGAATACTAGTTGCCAAACACTACCTAAAACACTTCTACTTTCTATTAAAAAACTACTTTTATCCTTACTTTTTCATATCCTACCTATCACATCGTACTTTTTATTAATAACAAAACTATCACATCTTACTTTTACTCATCACATTAAGGGCAAAATTGGAAAGTCAACCAAAATTACACTGTCCTTGTTTTTTCCAAAAGTCAAAAGTGGAAGGGTTTAAAGAAACGGAGGGAGTATATATTAGTATAAAAATGATTTTATTAGTTTTATCTTGTTGAGAATTTTCGAATTTTTATTTCATTGTACTAATATGTAATATAAATTGAATGTAATTGGCTGAAAATTTAACCAGTTTGATTCGAAAAAGGAGAAATCGACAAATATATTGAAACAGATGTGGTATTTCAAGAATTTGTTTAACTCGTTTCAGATCATAAACTGGTCATTTTACTTGGTCAATGGAGTAGCATTGCATGATGCATGAGTGTCATCGTACTAACACTAATACAAGTCCAACTTAATTTCTACCTTAGTAAAATGATGGGTAGATGACATGAAATTTGAAAAAAAAAATAATAATCATGAAAGTTTTTTCAAGTTCAATTTTTTTTTTTGATAAAAAAAATTAAATTTTAGGCGATTAATTGAATAATATGCAAATCTTGACAATAGAAATTATGTTCAGTAAAAAACGCCCATTATTTCAAAGTCCTTTAAAAAGTGCTTGGAAATATTTAACGATAGAAATGATTTTTTTTTTTACCTAAATCGTCATTATAGTGTCGGTTCTCTAAAGTCTTTTGTTTCCGCTAAAATTTGCCGCTTTTGATTCTTTTACGAAAAATGATTTTGACTATTTCCCCCCCTTAAATTATGGAGTAAGCTAAGAAACCCTTCTTCACATTTCTTTTGAAATGTTCTAAAATATTCTTCACATTTTTTTCTAGTGAACTTTTTTAAACATAAAAGATATTTCTACCATCCACATTTTTATATTACACGTACTCACTCTGTAAAAAAAGCTATCACTTTTTCAAGTAGGGCATCCTTGAAATTATTTTTATAACACTCTTAAACAATATGTCAAATCAACACCGAAAAAACATCTCTGAACGAATGGAGTAATTATTTTTAACAACAACAACATTATCCGGTGTCTTAAAGACTCTTGCCCAATGTGGGGGAGAGTGATAAGATGTATGCAGGCTGACATCTATGTTTAAAACATAAAGGAAATGTTTTCAGGCGACTTATAATAAACGTCGAGAGTTACATTGATTAACTGCTACTTTACTATATAAAAGAATCACATGCAATTTAAATAGTCATTTTTGCTTTACTCCATATATACCTAAGCCACTGGTTCAACCAATAGACCTTGGCCGGTTTTGGTTGTAAAAAATAAGATTACGTGTGCCCTGTGTCTCTACATACTACACGCAATATATATCGTACAACTGGTTGTACGATGTTTCTCGTACACCAGAGGTGAGTACACATTTACGAACAATTGAATACTCATTTTGGAGCAAATAAATACTCATTTTTGAGTAACAAAATACTAATTTTTTAAAAATTCAATTATGTTACACAAAATTGAATATTCAATTACTCGAAAAAGAGTATTCAAGCGGGATCTACATAAAAGATTGTGCAAGATATATGATATATAAGTACTCCATAGTCTCCATACCATACCGCGCGATTATTTGGATCTGCATAAATAATTAATCTCGACCGGCATAAATATATAATTACCAGCCATTTGCATAGATAATTACTTTATTAGGTGAAGAATTGAAGAAGATTTTCCTCTAAGGAATTGAATATGTTTCTTCTTCTTATCCTCTCATTTCTTCTCCTCCAAGAAGAAGAAGCAGCAGTAGTTACATCGAATCTGGACACAGACAAACAAGCCCTTCTCAAGTTTGCTGTTCCTCATGGACTGGGGTGGGACCCCTCCGACGACGACGACGACTCGATTTGCAGCTCTTGGCCCGGGGTGACCTGCAGTTCAGACCGAAGCCGGGTCGTCCGACTCCAACTACCCGGCTTCGGGCTCTGCGGGCCTTTACCCGAAAACACAACGATAGGAAGACTGGATGCGCTCGAGGTGCTACATCTCGAGAACAACTTCCTGACGGGGCCCATCCCGCCCGGTCTCGACCTCCTGATCCCGAACCTCAAGAGCCTGAACTTGAGCAACAACGGTTTCAGCGGGCCCGTCCCGCCGTGTCTCCTCAAAGGGTTCCCTCCTTCGTCGTTCGGAGGGAACCCTTTGCTGACGACGAGCGGGCTGCCACTGCCAGAAGTAGCAATCCGCCGTTTGTCGTCGTCGTCGTCATCGGGTTCAAAGAAAAAGAGAGATAGAGCATCGGAAGGGGCTCTCTGGCTGCTTGTTGTTGTTGTTTCAGTTTGGGTAGCTATTCTCCTTTGTAGTAAGTGTCAAGAGATTAGGTCCAGGCCTAAAAAGTATCATCTTCGTAAAAGAGAATAATAAAAAAATCATGTTCAAATAGCACTAAAATATAATGACTTTCCCTAAATAACACTATATGTGTTTTTCTTCTCAGTATAGCACTTTTAGTCATTATGCATTAGTCATTATTCAAGTAAATATTTGTCATAACTGGTCATTATAGACAATATTAAGTGCTATTTAGAGAAATGACTTAAGTTTTATTCGTATTTAGTGCAATTATTTCATATGCTCCTCAATATTCTGGTAACAACTCACATGTATCAAAACAGACTCTGGAGTACCCTTGCCTTTTTTTATAAAAATTCTCATATTCCACATTATCTAAAATATACTCTGGAATTTTTAAAATTTATGATATTATATTCAGAGTTCACATTCTTAAAATTGGTGAAGTTTTAAACAAATGGGTACGAATAAGATCAACTCTATGAACCGGAAGAGTTGGAAGAATCTAGGAGTTGGAAAAAATTGAAAATTAATTTTTCCAACCTAAAAAAATAGAGTCTTACTAGTTAGTAGTTACATGGTTAAACTTTAATTACTTATAATACATGTACTAGTTACTCTCTGTCTGGAATAATCTTCTTTTTTGTTTTTTCTTGGTCAACGTTTTTAGCTTTGACTGTAAAATATAAAAATATATATTGAGTTATGGTATAAATTTAATATCAATAGATTCATTTTGAAATAAAGTTTAAAAACATCATATTTTTATAATGTAAAATTATATTTAAAAAGAAACATTAATGATCAAAGTAGTGTATTGGAAACCGTAAAAAAGCAGAGAAGAAAATTATGGGATGGATGGAGTGTATGTTTACTACTTACTCCTAGAGTCCTAGTTACATGGTCTAACAAATTTTTTAAAAAAAAAACTGACATGCTTTTTTCACCTGACAAAAACTAACTAAAATATTGGGAAAAAATTAAAATAAGTAATGAATTGAAATTGAGAAAAAATTGAAGATATGGAAATTTTGGATTCAAGAATTTGTGAATAAAAATTCTTAAATTAGTGGGGAAAAAAAGATGATGAAAGAATGAAGGAGAGATGAGAAGAAATATAGAGTGAGAAAGAAGAAGAAACTTGATGTTTGATTGGGAAATTTGTATGAAGAGGGGAGTAAACTGTCCGGCGCCAGTATAAAAGAAGCAAAAAAACCGTCCTACGCTGTTATGGATTATATAGTAGGATATTAGATTATATATTTATTAGTTTATTATTATTATTATTATTATTATTATTATTATTATTATATTGTAATCTAGGTTTTATTAGGTGAGCGAAATTATAAGCTCCTTCGAGGTTTCTTTACGGTTCTTTCCCTCGTCGCTTTTATTGAACCGTCAGGTTAGGTTTACGGTTAGCTATGGTTACTTTGTCTCCTATATATAGAGATGTAACTCCTTTAGAATATATAATCAATCAATAAACAACTCAAAACCCTAATTCCTTCTCCCCTCTCGGTTCGCCAATTTCCCCCTTCGTCTCAATTCTTCTTCTTCTTCCTCATCTCATATTCTCAAGAGCTCGAATATTAGAAATATAGAATCAATTCACAGCTGAAAAATGTTCATCTTATTGAATACATCTCTAATAATGTCTATAAATATTACAAAGTTAATAATGAAAACAATCAAGGAAAGTGAGTGGAAGTTAATCAAATATCCTGATTGGTAATTTGATTCCAATCAAGGATATTATCAAGATATTACACTATTCCCTTTTTGTTTGATATTTCTAACACTCCCCCTCAAGTTGAATCATCCATTTCGGATGTTTAACTTGCTTAATGTTGCTTGAAAGACTCCAGCTGGTACTGCTTTTGTGAGAATGTCTGCCAATTGATCTTCAGATCGGACATATGGAAGACTGATGATATCTGCCTCGAGTTTCTCTTTGATAAAGTGACGATCAATCTCGATGTGCTTCGTACGATCATGTTGTACTGGATTCTCTGATATACGAATAGCAGCGGTATTATCGCACATTAGTCTACACTTACCCTTTGGCGGATACCCCAAATCTTTAAGGAGTTTTCTTAACCAAAGAACCTCAGTAATTCCTCGAGCGATCCCTCTGAATTCTGCTTCTGCACTTGATAGAGCAACTACCTTTTGTTTCTTGCTTTTCTATGTGACCAAATTTCCTCCAACAAAGGTGAAATACCCTGAAG